GGTCATCTTGCCGACCTAAAAGAGGTCTTTGAGATACTCAAAACATACCGGCTCCGACTCAACGCATCGAAATGCACGTTTGGAGTTGGATCAGGTAAATTTTTGGGGTACTTGGTAACAAGAAAGGGCATTGAGGCCAGCCCAGATCAAATCAAGGCCATCCTAGAGCTAAAAAGCCCGACGTCGGCAAAACAAGTTCAGATGCTTACTGGAAGGGCCACAGCCCTAAACAGGTTCATAAGCCGAAGCTCAGACAAATGTAAACCTTTCTTCAACCTGGTAAAAAAGGCCACAGAGTTCTTATGGACTGAGGAATGTGAGGCCGCCTTGGCCGACCTAAAGAAGTATCTGACCACGGCTCCAGTCCTCTCAACACCTGAACTTGGAGAAGAACTGTTTTTGTACTTAGCCGTTTCAGAACATGCAATAAGTGCGGTAATAATTTGTGAAGAAAAAGGGGAGCAAAGGGCTGTTTACTATGTAAGCAAAACCTTAGCCGATGCAGAAACAAAGTATCTACCCTTGGAAAAATTGGCGTTAGCTTTAGTAATGGCTTCAAAGAAATTGAGTCATTACTTTCAAGCACACAAGATTATAGTGCTGACAGAACACCCACAGAAGTCCTTGTTACAACAAAGAGATTTAACTGGAAGAATAGCAAGATGGGCAGTGGCCTTGGGCCAATATGACCTGCAGTTCAGGCCGAGAACAGCAATTAAGGGCCAAGTTTTGGCCGACTTCGTGGCCGAATTCACGCCGGAATCCATTGAACATCAGGCTCCGTTGAGCCGAGATGAACAATGTCCAAGCAAGCAAGGAGAAGCCCAGCCAAAGACAAAAGACACAAGGAAAAGAAAAACTAAGACCCTGCAGCATTTACATCGGTGACTCCTTTCGCCTGTTTGTCGATGGGAGTTCAAACCGGCAAGGAGCGGGGGCAGGAGTAGTGTTAATATCTCCTAATGGGGAGATATTGGAATAGTCTATTCGATTGGGGTTCAAGGCCTCAAACAATGAGGCAGAATACGAAGCACTGATTGCAGGACTAAAGCTAGCAGTGGCAGCAGAAGCAGATGAGGTAATAATTTTTTGTGATTCACAACTTATAGTAAATCAAACAACAGGAGAGTTTGCAACTCGAGATGAGAGGATGTCGGCATACGCAAAGGAGGTCATCAGACTGGCAAGCTTGTTTTGCAATTGCCGACTTCTTCCAGTCAGCCGAGATAATAACAACCACGCCGATGCGTTGGCCAACTTGGCAAGCTCAATGCAAACTGGAAAAACAAGAACAATAATGATTGACTATCTGTCAAGCCCGAGCATAGAACAGTCGATCACAGAGCAAGAAGCAATATGTGTGAACTTGGGTCCAAGCTGGATGGATGCAATTGTTGTATTCCTGAAAGAAGGAAAGCTACCAGAAGACCATAAGGAGGCACACAAGATCAGATTGAAATCAGCAAGATTCAGCCTGACAGCAGATGGACATCTCTACAGAAGGTCCTTCACAGGACCCCTTTTAAGGTGCGTATACCCTTTGCAGGTTGAAGATTTTCTATACGAAATTCATGAAGGCATTTGTGGAAGCCACACTAGGGGCAGATCACTAGCTCACAGGGCCATTACCCAGGGGTATTGGTGGCCCTACATGCAAAAAGATGCAGAAGCCTACGTGAAGAAGTGTGAACAATGCCAAAGGTTCGCACCGTTGATACATCAGCCAACTGCTGACCTGAACCCTGTATCCAGTCCATGGCCATTTGCCCAATGGGGCATGGATCTCGTTGGGCAGTTGCCCCAAGCAACTGGGTAGAGAAAGTACTTGCTGGTAGCCACAGATTACTTCACAAAGTGGATAGAAGTAGAACGTCTTGCCAAAATTCGAGATGTGGACGTCAAGAATTTCATATGGAGAAACATCATCACCAGATTTGGCATTCCAAGAGCAATAGTTGCCGACAACGGAATGCAATTTGACAACAAACTCATCAAAAACTTCTGTGCGAAATTCAAGATAAAAAATTACTTTTCAACACCAAGTTTTTCCCAAAGCAATGGGTAAGCAAAAGTATCCAACAAAGTAATTTTGGATGGGATAAAAAAGAGGCTGCAGGCAGCAAAAGGAAAGTGGGTAGACGAGTTACGCAATGTACTCTGGGCATATCGGACTACGCCGAGAAAATCAACAGGGGAAACCCCCTTTGCCATGGCTTACGGCATAGAAGCAGTCATCCCACTGGAGATCGGCATCCCAGGGATCAGAACCCAAGGAGTAGAAAATGGCACAAAGAATATACTTCTAGCCCGAGATCTGGATCTCTTAGAAGAAAGAAGGGAGAAAGCTGCAATTCAGCTCGCAGCATACCAGCAGCAACTTGCTAGAGCTTACAATAAGAAGGTCAATCCAAGGGATTTTCAGGTTGGCGACCTAGTCCTGAGAAAAGTTGTTGGCAACAAGAAGGATCCAAGAGAGAGCAAGCTTGGCCCAAACTGGGAAAGTCCTTACAAAATTACTTCGGTATTGGGCAATGGAGCATACCAGCTTGAAGATAATGAGGGCAAAGCATTGCCAAGACCTTGGAACACTTGTAATTTGAAATTTTTCTATCATTAGATGTTCCTTATTATTTTTTGCCAAACATCATCAACAAAATCTTAGCAGAATTCTCCAAGACTAGAGAATTGATAAAAGGTACATAATGATTGTTTATGAATAATGAGAACCCAAGTAGAACTCAGGTTCACATTGGGGGCAGAGAGAAGATAATAATGTTTAACGCTTGTTGAAATTTGTAACAATTTATAAGGTGAAGTTAAGCCGAGATAATTGTTTACCTTCACTTGTTGAAATTTGTAACAATTTACAAGTTGAAGTTAAGCCGAGATAATTGTTTATCTTAACGCTTGTTGAAATTTGTAGCAATTTACAAGTTGAAGTTAAGCCGAGATAATTATTTATCTTCACTTGTTGAAATTTGTAGCAATTTACAAGTTGAAGTTAAACTAAAGTAATGTTTAACGCTTGTTGAAATGTATAGCAATTTACAAGTTGAAGTTAAGCCAATATATTGCTTAGCACTTGTTATAAAATTTTCTCGAGTTATAAAATTTTATAACCATTATATGCTCATCCTTATTGAAACTTATAAGTAATTTACAGGACAAATACTTGCCGAAGTAAATTATCGGGTATAACTGAGGTATGTTACCCTGAGAAGATTACACAAAGAAGAAAGAGTACATACGATATATGCAGAATATTCTAAGTATAAAATCATACAAAGAAGAGAAGACAGGAGTACAAGCATTCAATAAAAGAGAAAAGTTGCATTAACATTCAACGTAAAAAGGGGGGCACGTCGGCCATACACAGAACATACATCCTTCCCTAAGATAAAGAAACAAGAAAATACAAAAGAAGACTTAGAGCTAAGGCTCCTCTCTGCCAGATTGTTGAATTTGAGGATCAAATACCACCTCGGCCTCCTTCTCTGCCGCTATTTCGGCATCAATTTCTTGAAGAGTTTCTTCAACAGTCTTGATCTCAGAAGGGATGTCGGCTGGTACAAGGTCGGGAACAACCTTTTGGATATCCTGATCACCTTCCTCATCCTGAGTCAAGTCTAGGACTTCCTCATTCTGAGGAGGGGACTTGGCCCCATCAGCATCTTTGATTTTTCTGACCAAAGCCTCATCCTCTTCCTCATCGGCATCATCGGACTTAGATTCGCCGACGTCTTGATTTGAGGGTTGGGCTGGAGGGAATGGAAGAAGAATATTGTCGGCATTTCGCAGAGGCGAATCATCAGGAACATTTAGTTTTTTCAGAAGAGACATCCAACAAAGGGTAAAACCCTTGTTGCATGCCTGCTTCACTTGAAGTTCATAGGCCTCTATAACGTCGGCCATGCCTTGATTATAGGCCTTTTCATCGGCTTCTTTGATTTCGGCTTTCTTTTCCTCAGCCTCTCTCCTTTGAGATTCAGCCACTTTTCTGATAGCCTCAGCAGCCTCGGCCTTCTCTTCGGCATTATTCTGAGCCTTAATTGAGCTTCGGCTTGATCCTCCAGCTTCTTCATTTTTGATTCAAGGCCCTTATTGATCTTTTGAATAGAAGAGAACTCCCTCTTCATGTCGACCAACCTTTGCCGATTCTCAAAGGACTGCATTGAAAACGAGTGGGCATGCTGGATGGCCTGAAAGAAAAACAGAGGTATTAGAAAAAATTCAAAGTATGAAAAAGGAAAATTATCAATTAGAAGACATTTACCTGAACAGAGTGTTGAAGCATTAGGGCATAATTCTCATACTCGCTAAAACCAACATTACGCTCCAAGTCCCTTGGCAGAAGCAGAGCTGTACTGAGTGCTACGCCGACATTGATATCATCGGCACTGTCAGTGGACAGGACTGGCTTGTCCTCTAGAGTTATTTTTGGAGTCCAAGGGGCACCACTCTGCTTAGACCCCGAAGTCGTCGCAGAAGAAGACCTCGGCTTTTTGGATTTTGGGGACTCTGATGGTTGAGTATCAGAGCGCCTCTTCCCAGCAGAGGGCTGAGGTTTGTCGTTCTCCACCAACTTTGAGATAGGCAGGCTATTGTCAGACTCGACCTGAGTTACCTTAGGCTTTGGTTGAGCCTTTTTTATTCTCTTTGGCTTTGGTGGAGGAAGGGTTTGGGTTGGCTGTTCGTCAATAGATGATGGAATGTTGGCAAGGAGGTCTTTAGTAACTGGCTTTGCACGACCCATTTCGGATGCAAGAACAAGACGTCGGTGACGTTTTCTTTGGGATGGTGGAATGAGGTATGGAGCCGAGGTCGACGGCTATTCTGTTGGATCAGAGGTTGAACCTTGGTCTGTTCGCGATGACGAAGCAACTGGAAGAGTTGTAGCAGAGGGAGGAGATGACCCATTCTTCTTCTTTTTTCTGGGGACGTCGGGGAGAGCTGATCTGTATGTTGGGATGAAGTTGAGAAGCAGGGGTGCCTTTCGCTTCTCAATTGGCAAATCTAGAAGTCTCTTCAAGTCTTTGCTGGGGACAAAGGATTGTCGAAAATTTTTTGGTGGCTGACGAACAGCTGCAAAAAGAACAGACATCAGAAACAGACAGAATATTTAAGACTTTGAAAGAAAACAGGCAAAGCTAAATGCTGGGCTCTTACCCTTGTCCTCTAAAACTGATCGGAGAAGAGGGTAGAGATGGATGTCCTCGTCTGGAGCAAACTCCTAATTTCCCGAGGTAATAAGATAGTCATCTCCAGCCCCCTTGTTGGAGTTTGGGAGGTCGACTACAATTTTGAATTCTGTAGACCTCGGCTTAAGATAATAAATGAAGCCTTTTTCTTTCAAAGGAATGTTTCAGTTTGCTCCAGACGAGGACAATTTTGACATACAGAAATTTGAAAGGAATGTTTCAGTTTTTCCCTAAATCGTGGGTTGTACAAACAAATCCCAAACCTAAAGCTATGAAGATGAAGAACAAAGGCACAGATCTGGAAAAGACATAAAAAACAGAAAGCAAATACGAAATTTCAGAGTCAAGAACAGAGATGGACTATCAAGAACATGAAAAATACAAAGGGTTGAAGGCCAAGAAAAGTGGTAAGGCGTGCAAGAAGAACTATGAACAGTACATGTGTTTAGGGCATAAACATAAAGCGAAGTCGACACATTCAGGTGTATGAATCACAAAAATTAAAAGTTTCGACAGATGCAGTAAAAGCCACAAGTAATGAAGAATGTTAACAGAATTAAAAAGGAAAAGGAACAGAAGCTTACCAGAAAAAGGGAAACCAGAAAGGGATTTGCCGATGTCCTACGACAGTTGCAGGAGCAGAAGACCGGTGGAAATCTCGCTGGAAGGGGTGAACGGAGAAAGTTGCAGAGCTTGGGAAGCTTGAGCGATGGCGGATTTGAAAGAAAGAGTTTTAGAGAGAGAAAAAATAAGAGAACTCAGATGCAAAAGTGAAGAGACGAAAGAAAAGGGGAAAGATTTTGTCAAAAAATGAAAACGGCGGCAAAAGGGTAATCAATACGCCTAAAAGAGTGCATACGTCAGACGGCGCATGTGAGAAAGAGATGACTTATGAGCGCGTCATAGGCACGAGCCAGTAAGAGAGAAACGCGTGATTAAAACGATTGAGTTAAAGTGCATGACAGTTCATGCGCGTGAGAAGATCCTTAAAAATCTTGATTTTTTAGGGAAAGCATGTCGGCCAGAAATGGATGATCTCGGCTATCAAACTTTAAGCCGATTTACTGGAAGAAAATACAGATATAGGTTCCATCACCTCAGAATACCGAGGTAATAGAACCTAGGGGGCAGTTGTGGGGATGTATTTTCTGAAATACCAACACGTGACAAGGTGACGCCGACGTGTCAGCCGAGGTGCCACGTGTCCAGGTTGTGACGCCGAGGTGATCTCGGCAAGGCTGAGATTATCTCCGAAGATATCGAAATCCGAGATAAGTGGATAAAAGATAAGGGACAAGAGTCCTAGAGTAAAGAGAAGACTTAGCTAAGATAAGGATAAAGCTCTTAGGGAGTTTATCTTTATCTCTTGAGAAATTCAAAGTAAGCACTGAATGGGAGTCCATAGAAGTCAGGCTTCTAGTGAGATCAGGATTGAGTTGGCTATAAAAGAGAGGCACCCCCGTGGGTCTAAGGTATGCAGTTTTCTGCTTTGAGTAGTGAGTTTAGCACTTGATTATCTTTGAGAGATATACTGACTTGATCGTCGGAGTGCCCCTGGGTGGAAGAGCTACCGTCGGAGCTTTTTCTTTTTGTTACAGGTTAGCTGAAGCCATCTATTCTGCCAGTGCTCTCCAGCTGATTACTAGACGGGCAGTGTGGTCAGAAAATCACTCACACAATATATATATTAAGGAAAGAGTTTATTGGTGAAAAATCCACTTTAACAATGAAAAATGTTTCAAATCCCCTTTCCCTCCCACACTTTTGACCCCCTTTCCCTTCTAAGACATTAGATTAGATCCAGTGGATATTTTTTATTGATGAGAAGTCCACTCTTTGTAAAATAGTTTTCATGAAAATCCGTTTATTTGTTTTGGAGAACATTTTTTTTTTCAATTTTAACCTTTAATTTATCTGTTGATTTTTTTTTACTATCTGTTCAAATTTATATATATCTGTGCAAATTTATATTTATCTGTTTAAATTATTTTTTATTTGTTTCAAATTTATCTCTATCTATCCGTTCAAATTTTTTGACTATCTGTTTAATTTTTTTTCTCCTTATCTGATTTATCTGTTCAAATTTTATCTATAAAAATTTTATCTGTCCAATTTTTTATCTATTTGTCCACAATTTATCTGTTTAATTTTTTTATCTGTACGAATATTCTATCCAAATTATTTAACCTACTTGTTCAAAAAAAAAAAATTATTTGTACAAATTTTCTGTCCAATTTTTTTTTATTTGTTTAATTTTTTTTAAAAATATCTATTCAATTTTTTTGGATCCACTATCTGTTGATAGTCTTTCTCCCTCTCTCTCTCTATCTGTTCTAATTCTAGTTTAGAGCCATTTCAACAAACACTTGGAGGTCCATACCAGATCTAAAAATGATCAAACACATACACAAATTGATAATATTTTATAAATATTATATAAAATCTATTGAAGATTTCCTGATTCAAAACCGCCACAATCTTTATCTCTCTCTCTCTCTCTCTCTCTATATATATATATATATATATATAAGTGAAAGTTATGGCCTCAAACATGCATACATACATATATATATATACATTCAATGCTAGACTTTTAAGAATTGGTTGGATGTGCAAATAAGATTATGATTTCTTATGGCATGATTTCAAATAGTTTTACACATTGTTTTGTTCACAACATCTCTTGGTTGTTTGTACATGTATATGTAGAGAGAGAGAGAGAGAGACAGAGAGATAGTGAAAGTTACAGGGAGAGGAATGGAAGGGATCGGACACCCAAACCCTCTCGATCAAGTTACTTCTCGTCTTAATCCCGAAATCAAGATCTGTAAACCCTAACTCTCTGCAACGGAATGCATGGAATGACGGCGACGATAGAGAGAGAAATGGTTGTAGGGACACTTAAGAGTTCCATTGATGCCCAATAAAAGAGTCCAGATTTGTATAGGTAAAGATAGAATAAAACGGGCAGAGAGAGATGCGTTGGTTTGAGAGGCATTTGATTAGGATTTGATCTGGAAACTATATATATATATATGTATAAGTAGTTTGGTCATTGCGCAAAAACATGTTATCGATAAAAAAAATCAGTGTTTGAACCTTTGGACAAATAAGATTCAATTTTGGGCTTTTGGCCCAAGCACCTTAAGGAAAATGAGATTTCTAATGAGAGGTGTCCTGTTAAATTCAAAACCCTCGTACTGTTTTTTTAGATTTTTATTTTTTAAATAATTAAAAAAAATTCTGTTGATTAGCTTTTATTGGAGGGCGTTTTGTCCACAAACCCAATTTTAAATTTCTTCGTTCCAAAAGTCCATGCGTTAAAGTGTAACGTCCATAAGGATGTGCTTGTGTAGAAAAACCAAACTACCCCTGTATATATATATCGTGTGGATCCACGCGTGCCTAAACCCTATCTGTGCAAATTGAGCTGTGTAATCAAAAAATTCTCTCTCTGTATCTTTTCTCTCTTTCTTCTCTCTCAAAACCCTAGCCGCGCCATGATTTCGGTGTATGTGGTGGTCGAAATCGTCTAGGCCAAGATCTTCATCTTCTTGTCATCTCCGACAATACCACCACCGCCTCCTATCCATCGCCATCGCCATTGCCGAAGGCGGAGAGACCAGATCTGGGCGATGGTAGATCCACTACCGCCTTTAACACCTTCTCTCTCTCTCTCTCTCTCTCTCACAGTTCTGAAAACGCTAGGCAGCGGAGGAAGAAGTGGAACAGAGGTTGTGGTGGTGGATTCGCCGCCGTTGATCGACGCTGTCGTTCCACAATTTTTATGGCTCAAATGGCTCAAAATTGCCAAAACGACGTCGTTTTGACAATTTTGAAGTTGTTTTGTACTCAAAACGACGTCGTTTTAGTAATTTCGAGCCATTTGAGCCACAAAAATTGTGGCCCTCAATCATTACTGATATATATATATATCTATATGGTTAGAGGTGACATCTTTAGATTTTAGCTATATAGTGTCTGTTGGGTGATCTTATGCCTGCTTCAGTCCAAAATTTTTATGAGAGTTGGATATGTATATATAATGTTTGAAAAATCTGTTTATTTTAAGTAATTTTGATTAGATTTATGTACTTCATTGCTACAATTTGATGTTCAATGCTCATGTTCTCATTTACTGAGTTGATGGTCTGGAATTCTGAGATTTTTGTTTTTGGTTCTCTATTCGAATGTGTTGGTGATAGCTCTTCATCGATAGCTTTAGAGATCTATCTAGATTCAGATTGAAGTCAGATCTTGATTAGTGCTTTGGATTGAAGTCAGATCTTGGTTACGGTTTCGGATTGAAGTCAATATAGGTAGAACGATTTGGATGGAAGTCAAACCAGAATTGCGAAGAAGAATCGTGAACAAATTGAAATTTGTCAGCGCTGTTCGATGATCCAAAGAAATGGAACTCAAAATTTTCCAACGGCACTTTGATTTTTCACTTTTAATTAGAGCTCACTGATTTACTCTCTCTCTCTCTCTCTCTCTCTGTGTCTTTCTCAGTCGCAGTCTTTCAGTGATGGATCTATGGAGATCTCAAATAGGATCTTTATTTATTTATTTATAGTTGATTGTTGTTGTTGTTTTTGATGAAGAAATAAATTGCAATAGATAATCAAATTCGATTAGATATTTGAACAGATAAGGGAAAAAAAATTAAACAGATAGTTAAAAAATTTGAATCGATAATAAATTTGGATAGATAGAATTATATTTGGAAAATTTTTTAAACAAATAAATAAATTTGAATTGAAAAGATTAAAAAATTAAACAAATAGGGTAAAAAAATCAAACAGATAGGAAAAAATTGAATAGAAATTTTTTTGAACAGATAGGGAAATTTTTTGAAGAGATAGTCAACGAAAGTCAACCGATAAAAAAAAAGTCAATAAATAAATTAAGAAGTAAAATTGAAAACAAAATGTTCTTCAAAACTTAGGAAATGACTTTTTATCAAACTATTTTACAAATAATGAACCTTTTACTAATAAAAAATATTTACTGAACCTAATATATTATATTCTCCTTAGTTTGGACTTTTCAACAATTATACCTTTATTGAATCATAAAAAAAAAAGAAAAAGAATCTTATTATACCATTGTTTTATACATTTTAAAAAGAAAGTTAATTAATCTATTTAAAAATTTTATACATTTTAAAAAGAAAGTTAATTAATCTATTTAAAAATTTGAGAAGGAAAGTTAACTAATTATTTTGAAATTTAAATTTTTGTACCACTGAAATGTAGGAATCAATTCACATTTTCTATAGATTTTTTTCTCTTGATGTTTAATAGTTTTATCTGTATCGACATTCCAACCTATATATCTATATTATAACAAAGGGACATTTCATATTAATAAAAACAATGAAACCTCCAAAGTTTCATTTGAAAATTTTAAATTTTAATATTTAAATAAAAATATTAAAAAATATATTGGCTGTTGTCCTATCTTAAAAAATTCTATAACCAATTAATATCTCACCAAAAGATTTTTAGAAGACCATTGACCCTTGGTCTCTATAATTTTGTTTTCTTTTTTTAATATATTTTTAGATGGGTAATTTTGTTTCCGTAAACCCCCAAGCTATGCTTCCACAGCCTAAGGTAGGATTTTATACTCTTTGGCGATGTTTGATTCACAAGATTAATAGTGAAATACTAATAATCTTATTAAATTAGTGTAATATTCACTATCTAATTGGATTAATATCCATTGGATTAATAATCCTACCCCTACCCCATCACTAATAATCCTACAAATTTGTTGGATTAATTATCCATTGGATTAATAATCCTAAACGAAAATATTAAAACAAACATAGGATAATTGGGCCTACGGATTAATAATCCCAATCCCATGCTCTAATCCACCTAATCAAACATGCCCTTTATATATAAATATAGTGTATATTAATACAATAAACGATTCAAAACTTCTTTCAAATATTGATAATGTGTTTGGTTCATGTTTTGGGTAGAGATTTTGAAAAAGAAAGATAAAAAGGTATGTGAAATTAAATAAAATATACTTATATTTCACATACTATCTTTCTTTTTCTTTGCTTTTATTTTTTATTTTTTATTTTTTTTTCTTTCAAATTCCTACTTAAATCCATGAATCAAATATAACATAAAGTTGGGTATATTACCTTTTCAAATTTCTTTATTTTATTTTTTTTGAAAATTTTGAATTAATATTATTTTTTTAAGTTGTGTATTACAAACTCTTATCACACATGTCTCTCCACATAATATTATCTCAAAGGTTAGTGATAGAGTCAAACAAAAAAAAAATGTGTAGGTCTTAAAGTAAAAATTTTACGTTAAAATTTGTTCAAATTTAATTCTCTTAATATTCATAAATATTTTTCATTGATTGATAAAGAGCACCGTAAATATGAAGATTATTATTTTTTTTTATGATATTGAGTTATTAAAATATGATACATTATAGGCTTAAACCAAGAATTATTGAAAAAAATCAACTTGAACTAGATTTTCTAGCTCAATTTTTATATTTAATCCAATATTGAAACTCCCAAACTGACTTATATCGATCACGAATCAATAAAGATAGTTTTTAATGATTAGGTGAATGTTACATTAGCATAAATATTGAGTTGATTAGTTTATAGCTCATTTCTAATGTTTAGTCGAATGCCATAAGAAGAGTTATGACGTATGACAATTTATAATTTTGAGTAGACAAATTTTTATGCTTTACAAAATAAGAAAAAATAAGAAAAAAAAAATAGTATATTAACAAATGTAATTTACTACTATCATATGCCAAATTAAAATTATAAAATTTATAACACGAAATGCATTTATATTTTATTGTAAATATAATTTTTGTAACTTTTTCTTTAATTTTTACCAATTAAATTATGATATGTAATTTTTTATTAAGAATTTATAACATACAATTAATAACATCAGAATAAAAATCTTCTTTTATGTATAACTCTAATAAAAATGAATAAAATTTAATTGATTATAAATTATTTTTACTACATATTTTAAATGAATTTTATATTATTATTTTAATTTTTAAATTAAGTTTTGATTATTTATTATACCCATGCATATGTTAGTATATAAACATGGAAGAATATGAAGGAGAGGAAAAATTTTTGTCTTTTTTTATATGAGATTAAAATGAGGTTTACAAGAAACATAGGAAGAAATCTATTTTTTTTTTCTTAAACAAAATAAAGAAATAGGGATTTGTTTAGACAACCAAACCAAGAGTCCACTAGGAATTGAAATTCCAAAAGAAAATAAAGAAGCTAGACTGAAAGTATCTTGCCTGTGTTTTGTTTTTTGAATTTTAGAAACATTTTGTGGAAAAAAGGGAAAAAAAATACCATACATATATGCACTTTTGTAATTGCATTATAATAATTTGTAATTACACAATAAAACATTATAAATAATAATATTTTAAAAAAAATCACAAAGCCTCATAAGACTTTTGTTGGTAATTACCACAAAGTTTCATATGCACCTATTTTACTCGGCTTAAACAGGTAGTGAATTTGGTGACATTATTCAGGGCTCCCATCCAAATCCCATTCCCATTCCCATTCCCATTCCCATTACCATTAATGCTCTGGGGACTAGTAGATCAACCAACCATTATCATAACAGAAATGGCAGAAATCGCAAAAATTTTATCATATGTCTTACGTGCGTGTAGATACATATGATATGAGACCTATATTGTGTGGGTTCTATACCTATGTGAGACATTTATAAAGTTACCATAAACTCTGTCAAATATGGAACCCGATGTCAAACCAAAACAAATTAGAGTAACACAAAACCAGAAATTTATCACAATTGAGCTTTTCCATACATTATCTGATATATACACCCAAGAACAAGAATAGAGAAGAGCAAAACAGAACCAGAAAATACTTTTTTCCATCAAAGAAAGAAATACCCAGAAGAAGAATCTTGATACATACCTTCTTGTTAACAAAAATAGAAACAAAGAAATTGGGGAGAAAGATCTTTCATAAAATGACATACATAACATTTATCAAACAACAAAAGCAAAAAAAAAAAGATCAAAAAGAAAAGAAAAAAGAAAAAAATAATAATAACAAACACAATCGAGGACCAAACGAAGCAGCCACCAAGAATTCCAATTTTCAGGTAGAGAGAGTTTAAACCCACTTGTCATTCAACCAATCCTGATGAATCCTCAACTGAGCCAGTGGGTAAGCGATCTCATCCCCTGTTTTCTCAAAATACACATAGTATTTGGACCCAAGTCTCCCAGTAATGTTCCCAACCCACCAACCATCGTTGTCGAATGCATCGACTCTCTCGTACAGACCGAACCCAGTTGCCGAAATCTCTGGTGGCACCGGCCGGACCTCGTCGGCGGCGACAATCTCTCTCAAGGGTCCGGCCTCGTCTTCCTTCAACAGAGTCTTGTACTGAACCATGTAGTGCTTCTTCATGAGCTCTGAAATCACTGTTGCTGAGTAGTACGAACCCACAAACCCATCTTCTTTGCTCGCAACTTCAATTTGGTCACCCCTACGAAACCCCATTCTTGAATGATGAATTAGAGAGAAAGAGTGAGAGACGGGTTAGGGTTTTGGAGGAAAAACCCAAGAGAGAGAATGAGAGTGAAGTGAAATTCTTGAATAGCAAGTAATGTGCTCTCCAAATATGTTATTACATAGAGATGATAATGAAATCCCAGCCGTTGATTTGTTATGCACAACCTAGCGGATAAGAAATATCATAAAATTTTTGGAAACTCTTGAACAACACGTAATTGTGTTGTGTTGTGTTATCCACCCAAAAAAGCACGTAATTGTGTTTCAAATTAATTATATTTTTTTTGTTTATTTTATATATATATATATATATATTTCCATTTTTGAATCATGTAATTATATAGTTATTTTTTGATTATTGGTAAGTACATTGTTAACCTGAAATTCTTAGTCGGATTGTAGATTTCATTATCTGGGCGTTTCAAATTTGTAATTTTGTTGTGATAAGAACTTTCATTTTGCTAATAATTTTGTATAACAATGTCGATTGTAGTACTGCTTGTTCCATTTATAGTTGTCAACATTATTATTATTTTTTTGGTGTAATATAACTTTTCAAAGAATTTAAATTGGCACCATGAATTATTTGTATTATTATGTATATTTACAAGATATGCGAAATTCTCTTATTCAATAAAAAATATAAACAAAATAAGTGATTTTGGAAGGTGGCACATGGAGCATAAAGTTAAAACATAGCGGGACAAGTGGCAAAATAAAAATGAAAAAAAATGCTTAGGAGCACTAGAAATGGAGCATTAGAATGAGCACTAATAATGTGGCAGTGGGCTTCGCCTACTTTCTATGCCTTGTTTCTTTTTTTTTTCTTTTTTTTTTTATCATTCCTAATACATTAGTGCTATTAGTGGTACATTTTTTAATGGTCTAAATCTTTGTTGTAAAAATGAATATGGAATTGTAGGAAGCTAATTAGTGATTACTTGACCTGGGGTGCCGTTGCGTCATCATGATGAAGGTATAATAACCTGCTGTAGGTTGGGTATAGAGTTATTTGGCCATACAAATCGTCCATACTTATTTGGATGGTTTTTCATAATTTTTAGGGGTGGATGTGGGTTAGGATTTTTTTATTTTGCGAATTGCAGGCAAGTTGCGGTTTTTATTCGCATCCGCACTCACTCACTTGCATCTATATATAGTTTTTTTTTTTTAATTTAGACTGTTAGATTTTCTTGTACGTTTTGTAAGTGTGTAATCCTAATATTCTCTTCTCACTCACTAACAATTAACAAATGTTTTGCAACTTGTTTTGCATTACAAGTGTGGAAATCCAACAAATACAGTAATTTGTAATAAAATGAGTAAAAAAGTTTATTCACAATTATACATCTTGTTTTTCACTAGTTAGTGAGTTAGCAAATCCTAAAATCAAATTTTCAAAAGAGATGTTTGTGCCATTTTTATTAAAACAACTATGGGGTTTTGTTTAACTTATACCTTTTTTGTAAAGCGAATGTGAGTCAATTGACTGACGTTGACCTGTACTTATAGTTTGTTTCCTTTTGAAAGTAAATTGGATAGATAAGTTGTAATTTATTTGGAATAAATCATTTGAAAAATAATAATTTCATGATAAGAAATATGAGATTTTATGACCCAAAATAATATTTAAAAAATGGGAGAAAAGGCCCAAAAAGAATGTTTAAAAAATGAGAAAAAAACAAGTCCAAAAATAACATTTTAAACTAAAAGCGTAATCCGCAAACCGTTTGTATATCTGTAAACCCTATCCGCATAAACTGCAATCCGCACTGCGGGCGATTGTGGGTTCAATTTTTCCCAAACCACAGACATGAGGGCATGTCCAAACCGCAAACCGAACCGTCAAAAACCGGCGAACACCCCTAACTTGTTGTGCTCTTTTGTGGATGTCCTTCCTAAGTCTCTTTTGATGATCTAAATAGTTCACATTGTAAAATTCGTCAAGAATATTATTTATATAAAAAATCAAATTAATTAAATATTCGTAATCTCATGATTAGGTCATAATTATTTTTAAAAAATAATAAAAATTATATTAACCGTTAATTTTTTAAAAAATAAGTGTGCTCTTATTATAAAGCTGTAAATATCCAATCGACTTAATTTTTTGCATGAATGATTTACTTGATGAACCCTACAATATAAACAGTTCGAATTATCAAAAAATACTCAAGACAAACCTCCATAATAAAGTACAGGCACAACAAAATTTCCAAATCCGATTACTTAGATGGTGGTCACTTAATTAGATTTCTCCAACAATTTTTATATATGGCCTCCCATGTTAGATTTTTCCTAACATCAAAGACATGAGTTGATCAAATTTTATCCTTTATTTATTTATTTATTTATTTACCAACAAAACTAAAACTTTATTGATGAAAAAAGTAATATACATGCCAAAATTACATCAATAAGGGAAATACACATAGCATCATAGCTAACCTCAACGATCCCAACTAAGTTGGCACTGTGAAGGAAGCTCAATCATATGCTAACATTTGACCTGAGATTGAAGAGAAACCAATCAAAGCAACTAAAGACAGAAAAAGAAAAAGAAAAAGAACAACAATACAACCACAATGCACCAATATAGTAGCAGTACCAATCAGTAAGCTACGAAACCAAAACCAACAGCAGCAGTAACAACTCTCCACCCGCACCAAATTCATGAGCTTCCAGCAGCAGCAACTACACCTCTGCGCCTCATAACCGTAGCACACACCATCTAATCTCCACTACATACCCAACCAAGCAATCCGTTAAGCTCCACCAACGACAGAGAGCAGCTCCATAACACGCAAATCACCCATCAATCAGTAGCAGTAGATCACAGCAGCATAACACCAACATAACAGCAGCACCAATAAAAAAAGAAAAGAAAAGAAAAAAGATCTCCTGATCTGCTCTGCCTCATCTCAGCATTAATAACAGCAAAAGTAGTATATCAATAGCAACATCAACATCAGCAAGAAATCCCACCAATGCCCAAGACAAGAAAATTGCAGTTGCACTCCCACAACTATAGATGCACTCCCAATGCCCATTACAAGAGAACTGTAACAACTGTTTATAAAAAAGCTCCACTTCTGCCCTGAGCTACACCTCCTGACAGACCACCATAGCAGCTCACTCTCTAAGTTACTAAATGAATTTTCTTACCAGATGAATAGTTCTTACAATGTCACCAACAGAATAAGAACAACCAGGATCAAATGTTGGCAACCACAGTGCTAGTCGAACTTTAATTAGTTCACATAACTCCTCCAGAATTGGGGGCTTGTTAGAGAAAATGCATTCATTTCTACACTTCCACACAGACCATACCACAGCTGAGGGGATAGCTCTCCACACCTGTCATTCTTTCTTTCTAAACGTCCAGCTAATCCACCAATTAAATAGACAGTCCACGGATCCTGGAGTTGACCAAGAAAGCCCCCACCAGTCAATTATGCATGCCCAAATTTGCCATACAAAGGGACACAACAACAACAAATGTGTTATTGATTCCAGTTCAGATTTGCAGAAAACACACGACAAGTCCACACTACTCCTCAATACACCAGTCCTATTTAGATAAACTGCTGTCTTAAGCCTGCCTTTCCAAGCCAACCAAGTAAAGAATTTGGCTTTGGATAGAGAAAAATTATTCCAAATTAAACCAGCTGATGTCAAAGTGGGCCCAGATTCTAGATCACCCTTATTTGTAAACATTGCTTACCTTGAAACCCCTTACTTGATCAGCCTTCCATCTTACATGGTCCTCTAAATCCATACTTAACCTAGGCCCAACACCCAACTTGTCAGTAACCCTTACCACTTCTTCTTCCTTCCAAGCATGAAGAGTTCTTCTAAAATTAAAGCACCACCTATTTGAGCTTACTTGCCTTGAGATTAGCACACTCAATGGCACCTCTTTATCTGTACTCAATTGAAACAATCTAGGAAATTGAGTACACAAACTAGACTCTCCCAACCAATTATTAACCCAGAACTGCACTCTTCTGCCATTCCCAACTCTGAGTTTCAAATTTTCCATAAAGAATGTAAAAAGTCTTGGGTTAGCTTGTGCCATAACCAGAATGTCCCTCCAGATCTGTGAAGTGACTCCTACTGCAGTAGCTGGTGGCAGCCACTTCCCACCTATGGATCCATACTTACTACACACAATTGATTTCCAAAGTGCATTATTTTCCACGGCATACCTCCACTAACATTTGAGTAACATGCATTGATTTGTAAGTCTAATGTCCCTAATCCCAAGACCCTTTTTTTGTTTATTCATTATAATCTCATTCCAATTGACTAATTGTATTTTCTTTCTTCCCATAGGAAATTTGCTTACAGCCTATCAAGTTCCTTAGCCACACTTTCAGGAATCTTAAATAAGGATATATAATAAATGGGTAATGAGGACTGAACAGATTTAATGAGGACTACTCTACATGTGAATGACAGTAATCTTCTTTTCCATCTTGAAAGCTTTTTTTAAAGTTGTCAATGACTAGTTTCCAAGATAGTTTCCTGCTTGGATTGGCACCAAGTGGTAACCCAAGATATTTGAAAGGCAACTTATGACTTATGCAGTTAAGTTTAGATGCAAAATCCTCCACCAAATCCTTCTCCACACCCACCCCACATACCAAACTTTTGTAAAAATTTATTTTTAGCCCAGACACAACTTCAAAGCACCTTAAAATTCTTTTAATAGCAACAACTTCAGACCACTCCGCATCACGCAGAATTATGGTATCATCTGCATATTAGATGTGACATACATTAAAACCCCTATGACCCACATCCACTCCTTTAATAACTTCCATATCTTTTGCCCTTTTCAACATGATATTAAGCCCTTCAGCTGCAACATTAAACAAGAGGGGTGAGAGTGGATCACCTTGCCTTATTCCTCTCTTCGAACAAAACTCATCAGATGGAGACCCATTCACAAGTACAGAAACTCTAGATGACGCAATGCATTCCTT